CCATACACCGCCTAAGTTTCAGAGTCAGTTCCCTGAAGTTCACCAGTCTGATTTCCAGCTGTCAGAAGCAAGGCCAAGGAAAGAGACCTTGGTTTCAATGCAGCAATGCTGGCACACAGGAGCTTGAACAATGGTTTCCAACCCCACAGAAAGAGCAAAGGAATAATAATGCAATCTGGGTATGCAGCAACATAAAACATCGCCCTTAGACACCACTGTCAGAAAGCCCTCATTTCTAGTGTGTTCAGTCATGTGACAGTCAGTGACTATTTTTCTTTGGGTCTTCTTAACATGCTGAGTTACAGTATCAGAGATAGAGAAAAATACTTCTGGCTAAAGAAAGTGTTTCCACAGCAACTTTCCTTTGTGTTTCTGTGACAGATCACATTTTGTAACATGCAGCAATGTCTGCGTGAACTTACTTGTGTGATTTCTTGGTATTTGCTCCATCAGGTCCCTCTCCACAGTCATAAGCCTGGATGGTGAATGTGTGCTCCTTATGTGCTTCACAATCCACTGGTTCTTTGGCCCGGATCAGCCCCTCACCTGTAGCTTTGTCGAGGATCACAGCTTCAAAAGGTACCCCTGATCCATGAATCCTGAAGCCACAGATTTCACCTGGTACACAAAAAAGCAGAGAAGAAGGGGAGAAAGAAAAGGACTTAGGAGAGCACATTATATCCCTTGCTTTCCTTTTCCATATTTTCTTCCTTTCTAACTTGCACTCTCCATTCTTCCTCATTATCACCCTTCATTTTGAACAATTTTTAGTTCACTAGGAGTTCCTCCTGCTATTCCCTACAGCCATTAATGGTGCAGATTGCCATCTACTGGAGACTACTCCCCTGGCAAGGAGTGCTGACCAGCATCACAAAGGATTAGAGGTTACAAGGCTCAAACTACATGTGTTAGTGCTACACAGCCACAGTCCTGAGGGAGCACCTTATTTCTCCTCTGCAGCCCTCAGTGAGGTAAAACAGGCCATATACTGCAAATAGACAGTCAGAGCATGTAGATCCATGATGTCTCGTCCACCCACACATGCAGGAGGCACAGAGTACCGCAGGAAACTGCAGATAGGGTCACCTAAATCCTAAAATTCAGCTCAGAGGAACCACTTTTCCTCTCACAAAGCTGACAGAGGATGCCTGAGGAAGCTCCAGGCATGGCCTAAGCAAGCATTAGGAATAAAACCCTTGTAAAGCCTCATCTGTTGTAACAGGCATTTGTGCTTACTGTGAGAGGATGTAGCACTGCCAACCAAGTGTGCCCTACCAGCTTTCTCCAGGGCTCACAGACACAGCGCTGTGCATGTGATCCTTGGAAATAGCAGAACTGCGTCAAAAAGTAGCTGACTCCACCCTCGATTTCTCTCCCTAAGGAAACAGCTCACAGCATCCTAAATCAAGCTGTGCCCAAATTGCCTCCAGACTTCACTAGGGGCCTCCTTTGGAACAAGGTTTGGAGGTGATTGTTTCCTGGAGAGAGCTAGGATCCAGCACAGGGATGAATGTCACCCTGTCTCTGCCTCTTCATAAGTCTGTCCCTACCTCCCACCCTTCCCAGAGCTGTTATCCACCTACCTGCATAGCGCAGTGGAGCATCTTTGTCCAGTGCGAACAGCGGTGGGTTGAGCAGGACTGTGTTGTCATTCTCCATAACGATGCCCTGATACTCGGCTTCAATCCAGGGTTTGTGCTTGTTTGCTGAAGTGGATTTTGGGCAAGGGATGGAGGACAGGAATGTATTAGCCACCAATGGCAGATTCAGTAGAAAACGAGCAGAATATCATCCAGTGGCAAGTAACAACCACCCCTCCCCACCTTCTTCTACGGAAATAAAGAAGTCTAAAATAGGCTGGGAGGAGGAAGTTATCTTTATTTAGTTCTACTCTTAGGAGACTCATCAGAAACAACGTGTTCCTTCTAGTCTCCTCATTAATACCTTACCAGAAATATGTGGAGAGGCATATGGGCACCCAGGAAAGCTGGAGCAGTTAAAAAAAAAAAAGTGAACTCCAGAGGCAGAAGTAGTCTGACCCTGGAGACATATTCCAAATGCTAAATCCTTTAGCTCAATGAAGCCATAATTAAAGGATCCAGGCTACATCTTCCCTTGGGGTGTCCCCAGGGGACAAGTCTTGCATGCAGCCATTATCACTTGTGTGGACATCCTCTAGACCAAGGCCCAGGACCTACACACATATACCCAGGTACACTTCCAGTCAGCCATCCTTCTCTGAGAGTCCCTTGCTCCTTCCTTCCCCACTCCATGGTGAGCACCATATTCCCTTGGCCCCTCCTTGCTAATCCTGTTGGCTGGAGCCCAGCCAGGCTTGGCATGGAGGCAGCAGCCAGCAGGAGGCTCTGAAAAATGTCACAGGCCCAGAAATAGCAAATTAATCTTTATCACACAGGCTCCGGGGCAGGGAAAGGGAGAAATAAAGGGGTGGGGGGGAGGGAAGGGAGGGGAGAGAGAAAAAAATCATTACAAATTAAAAACCCCTCCCCCATGCCCACTCCCTGCCAAATGGGCCTCAGAGATTATATTACATGGCCTAGTTACAACCCCCATTCCCAGATAATCCCCCACTCTCCCACCCCCTGGAGACCAAGATTTATTACAACCCAGCATGGCTTAGAGCTGGTAGAGAGTAGGATACAGAGCCATTCCCCTCAAGGGCACTACTTTCAATATGTGAAATCTATTCTGTGCAGCACAGTGTCCTTTGACATGCCATATTGGCATGGCTTGATGTGTTGACTCAAGAGGGGCAGTATCCTTAACAACCAAGCACTTCTGCACTCCAGGGCCAGGGGATGCTGCCAGAAGTGGGTGGTGGGCCAGCAGGCAGGGTGACAGGTCAGAGTGGGATGCCCCAGCAGGGCAGAGCAGGCAGACCCAGCCTGGCGTAGCAGTGAAGAGTGTGGGCTGGCACTTCTCCATCACCATATTGACTGAGATTATAAAGCATTGCGTAGGAAACCCAGAGAAACATCCACCCTGCTCAGTATGCAGGTGGAATCCTCCCTGTATGCAAGTGCCCACGTCTCCCCCTACCCCTCCATTGTCCCCTCCAGCTTCCACTCTCTACGGCTCTAGTCCATGCGCCACACCACCGAGGTGGAAATCCATAGCTATAAATGCCAAATATGCCCTGTTGCTGGGGTAACAAGCTGATGGTAGAGAGATAAATCCTTTGCTGCATCCACCTGCAACTTGGGAATCACCAATCTGATTTCTCAGGAAATGAGTTGCTGGAGAATAGAAAAACATTTTGGGAATATTTTTAGGATACAGACTCCTACCAGCTTCAAGAAGGCTCCTGTAAATCTAAAAAAATTTGCCAAAGGTGGAGTAGGTATTTCCAAGTGCAAATTCACAAAGGAGGAGGAGAATTCAGAGCACAAGGGGCCTTTCCTTGCCACCGGGCCCCATGGAACCAGAGCAGTACAAATAAATGCCCCTGCCAATGTCAGTGTACACACAGCTCTGCGGTGCACCCGCCCCTGTAGCCCTACCTCTTCCAAAGCACGGGAAGCACCCTAAGGTGTCACATTCCCTGATGACCCCCGAGTACCTTGAATGTTTGCAGATTCCCCCACCCTGTCAGATTATTGACGCACTGGCTCCCCTCAGATGAATCTCTCATGCCTGTCTCTACAGCCACAGATCTAGAAATCTACATCTTTCTCCATCACTATATGTGCTCAAAGAACATCTGCATTCAGAACGTTATAGCTGTAGCACTGGGGTGGTTTGGGCTTTCTTTCATCTTTATCACATAAAATATTCTTTTATATAAGCAACCTGCATCCTTAACACATAAGTGTAAAATAATTCCTATTGACAGATTGTAGATGGATGAACTGGGATTGGAAGGTGGAGATAGGAGATGTGTCTTAGAGACCGCAGGGGTCTGTGGAAGAACAACATATTCTCTCTCAGCATGCAAGGGAAGGGAAGGGAATCTAAATCCACACAGCAAAAACTAAACAAAAGCAAGACAAGTGGACGGAAAAGGGGAAAATGTGAAGGGAACGCTAGGAGATGAAAGAACGGAGAAAAACGCGGTGGTAGGATGACAGATGGGGAAAGTAGAGAATGGGGACGGCATGTCTTGAAGGCGCCCGAAGGGGCGAAGAAAGCCAAAACCGCCGGGGACCGTGGAGATGCCCCAACAAAAACGTGTTGGGCGAAGGCGGCGGGCAGCGCAAAGCCTCACCGCCACCGCGGGAGCGGACGGACGAGCCGCGGCCAACGTGCCCCTCCAGAGCCCCGGCGCGGGGGGCAGCCGAGGGGTTCCAGCGGAGCGCCCGCCGCCCCTGCCGCCCGGGACCGTGCCCACGGCGCTCCGCCGCTCACCTTTGTTGGAGGCGCTGCCGGGCAGCGCGGCGCAGAGGCAGAGCAGAGGGAGGAGGACGGCGGAGCGGGGCCGAGGGTCGCCCATCGCGGCGGCGGTGGCGGGTCCCGGCGCGACCCACGCCCTCGCTCCCGCGGCGGCGGCGCGCAGGGACGGCGGCACCCCCGGCACCTCCCGCACCTCCCGCACCGCGCTCCGCGCCCCGCCCGGCCCCGCCCCGCACTGCAGCATGACGTCACGGGCCGGTGGGGGGCGGCAGCCAATGCGCGGGGCCGCCGCGCCAGGTGCTGCGGGATGGGGATGCGGGGCGGGGCGCGGGAGCCGCTCCGCGCCTTCCCACTGCGGTCCGGGCAGGGCGCTGAGAGGGGCGAGGGCTGGGGGTGCCTGCCTGGGGAGGTGGTGATGGTGGGGGGTGCTTCAAAACCGAGGGACGTGCGGGGGTGTGAGGATCGGGGGATGCGGGAGCGAGGGGCTGCAGACCGCATCCGGACCTCGCCGCCCATCCGGAGCCCGGGCTCGGGCTCGGCAGGGCGGATCCGCCAGCCTGCCGCCGCCTCTCCTCGACGGGGTGCCCGGGCGGGGCGGGGCGCAGGCCGAGGCACTGCTCCGAGGAATCTCGCAGCCACGGGTGTCTCGGTATGAGAAAGGGCCGGTGGGAAGGGTTCCTTGCCGCTCCTTGGAAGCCCAGAGTTTAATACGAGCAGCCCCCGAGGAGGGCGGAGGGTAAGGAGGTGACCCGCCATCCTCATGTCCTGCCCCGCCGAGGCGGAGATGCTGGAGCAGGGGCCGTCCCGGCCCTTTCCGCGCCCCCCGGCGTGGGGACTCTTACTGCGGCGGGGAGCCCGGGACTCGGGCCGCCCCGCATTGCTCCCCTCCCTGCGGGAGGGGGTCCGGACTGCCCGGCGAGCCAGCTCTGTACCAGCTGCCCACTTGCCCCGCTTCTTGCGCTCTTTCCTCCGCACCGTCCGCACCGTTCCTCTGCCCCGGGATGCCTCCCAACCTCACCGGCTATTACCGCTTCGTCTCCCAGGAGAACATGGACAATTACCTGCGGGCTTTAGGTAATGCCACCCTCCCCACCACGGTCCCTCCTCTGCATCACGCTCCCCTCTATCTCCAAAAAGTCAGGAGTCGGGAAGGGAAGGAAGGGATTTGGGAATCCTCTGGTCCTTCTGTCTGCGACCATCACTTTTGTGCTGTGGTCGTAGGGGGAAGGAGGTACCATGGCTGGTGCTCCCTGGCTAAAAGAGTGGAGGAGCTTTGCTGAAAGAGTGCAGGAGCTCTGTTGGAGGAAGGGCCCAGGTCATCCACACATCTTCTCTCTCTCTCTCATCCTCCAGATATAAACGTGGTCCTGCGAAAACTGGTTTGTCTACTGAAGCCTGACAAAGAGATCATTCACACGGGAGATCACATGGTCATCCGCACCATCACCTCCCTGCGGGACTACGTGATGGATTTTGACCTGGGAGTCCAGTTTGAGGAAGACTTGGGGCCTGTGGATGGACGCAAGTGCCAGGTGAGAAACCGAAGCAGTGGAGTTTCACAAGAGACTGGTGTGCTAGGAAGTTCAGGGACTTGCTCAGCTTTTGATTCAAAAACCAGATGAGAGCCCAGCCCAGAGCTGGCATGCCCCTGCAGGTCTAGGAGTAAGTGGTTCTATGAGTAAATCACTCACAGCAAAGGGGATGATCACTAGAGAGCCAGAAACCCAGTACTTTGGGACCCAGAGGATATTATCCTCTGGAGCAAAGCCCTGAAAAGACAGCATGTCAGCCCACTTGGTGGAACTCTGTTGTTGCACTTGGAAGCCAGAGGGTCATTCAACTCCCACGGAGCGCATCACTCCCAAGGAGCCACTAAAGAAACACCAAATCAGGGACTGCATTTGAAATTGTGTCTGAGAGGAACAGCCAGTGACATCACTGCAAACCTATATTGCCAAGATTCACTTGTCTCTGGACCATATTTTCTCCTTTCCTCCTTTTTTTTCAGACAACTGTCTCCTGGGAGGGGGATCAGCTGGTGTGTGAGCAGCTAGGAGAGAAGAGGAACCGAGGCTGGAGGCACTGGCTGGAGGGGGACAAGTTGCATCTGGTGAGGAGGGGTCCAGCGCAACTTGATAAATCCTAATTGCAGTGGGTGGGGGGAACACAGTGCGGGTGCTGTGGGCTCTGAGCCAGCCCTGCAGCTTCCTCCCAGCTCCTCTCAGACTTCATCCCCGGCTCCCTGGGGACAACCACCACTTCACACAAACATCCGCCTCCCGGATTTAAAAATTAAACTCAAAAGTTAAACAGGTCAACAAAGGCAATGTCCATTCCCTGCCCTGGAGTTGGACCCGCTGAGGTTTTGGGAGGGTCAGCTGTGCAGCAGCGTGTGGCCTGCGAGGCTCCAACCAGCAGCAGGAGGGCTGGCAGGACTGCAGCGGAGGCAGCTGGGGAGGGAGAGGAGAGGATCTAGCCTAAACTCGTCTTTTACCCTGCTTTCCCCAGCGCATGACTGCTGAAGATGAGATCTGCGTCCAGGTTTTCCAGAAGGTGAAGTGATCAATCCCCGGAGGGATGCCCGGACGGGACCCTCTGTCCCCAGTATGAAAAAGAAAAGAAAACGAAATAAGACCCGAGCGAGCCGAGTTCTCCCGCAGCAGTGTGTTTTCTTGTGCCTCGCCACCGCGCCGAGCAGCGGCCGGGCCGGGCCGGGGGTCACGGCGGGGCCGGGCCGGCGGGGAGCGGGAGGCGGGGAGCGGGATGGGCCGGGGCGGGGAGGGCGATGGGCCGCCGGCTGCACGGAGGCTCCTTTCAGAATAAGAGCGGTCGGGGAGGAGCGGCGCGGGGGCTGCCCCACGGCCGGCCCGGCCCCCGCAGCTCCAGCGCTCCTGCTGCCGCCCCCGCCGCAGCCGAACCCCGCGTTGCCCCACGGCTCCTCCGGGGATGCGGGGGTCGGTGCCCGAGTGGGCAAGGGTGGCTCAGGCTGCCCCTTCTTCGGCAGCCACCAACACCTGCTGTCTTCTGGGGATGCCGCATTCTTATTGGGGTCCCGGGATCATAGAATCATTGAACAGTTTGGGTTGGAAGGGACCTTAAAGATCATTTGGTTCCAACACCCCCACCGTGGGCAGGAACAAGTTCAGGAAGAATTTCAGGGAAGGGGTTTTCAAGCATTGGGAGAGACTGTCCAGGGAGGTGGTGGAGTCACCATCCCTGGAGGTGTTCAAGAAAAGATTGGATGTGGCACTTAGTGCTATGATCTAGTTGACAAGGCGGTGATCGGTCAAAGGTTGCACTCAATGATCTTGGAGGTCTTTTCCAACCTAAATGATTCTGTGACACCTTCCACTTAGACAAGGAGCCCACTCCAACCTGACCGTGAACACTTCCTGGCGTGGGGCAGCCACAACTTCTTGAGATCCTCAGTCTGGATGGGTAGAAAACAACACTTCTCCTTCAGAGTCAGGTATTCTTTCTTAATGCTGTGAAATCTGAGGGCTGGAGCAACTAGACCCATGTTCACTGCACTCCTGAGAAGGTCCAATGGGTGAGGGAGGCTCAGGCTCTTCTCCTGGGGTAAGAAACCACGGCTATCTCCTCTAGCCCCAACGCTCCCTCTGGCATTCTTGGTAATGTCTCCCCATGACCATCATAGCTCCCCTCGTTCACTGCTGTCTGGAACTGGAGACCAAGGAGCAGAAACAAAAGAGGTGAAGTACCCTGAAAAAGCCAGAACAGGGACAAAGAGAGAGGTGTCCTTTAATGATGACACCTCATAGGGCGGGCACAAGCCCACATGCAGTTGTTTCTGAGCAATGCTTGTGATTACCCCCCAAACAAAAGATGGAATTGTGGGAACGCAAAAATGTGTTGCTACTGACACCAGAGAGAAGCAAGAGATTGGCACATTTTGAAAATACAGACCCTTTTCAAGATGAGAAAATGCAATTTTTTTTCCTCCAGTACTATTTAAAAATAGTGTTTTCTGAAGAGCTTCTTTTCAGGGCACTGCAAAGTTGAGTGTCATGAGAAAAGCATACTTCAGAACATGTGATAAGCAAAGGGTTGGGGAGCTGCAGCTGTGCCTACAATGTCAACCTCTGGCTATTTACAGTTGTCTCAGGACATACAAGGTGGGAGCACCCTGTCAATATCCACAGGGCAAGAGTGCCACAATCAAACCAGTGAGCAATCATAGCCCTGCTATCCAGTATGTCATTTATCTGCTCTGTGCAGACCTCCTCAACCCATCATTCTATCACAAGGAGCCTCTGTGTGATCTTTGTTGTATCACGAAGTTACAAAAGGCAGAATTTTGACTAACAGCAGCTGAAGCTGATTGAACTGTTGCCCTCTTCACACTCTTCCATACCACAAGAGCCCATCTGGGCTGCTTCTGATCCCCAATACCAAACTCACTTCACCATGTCCAGGCTAGTATCTTCTAGACTGTGTGATCAACAAGTAATCAACTCATTTCAGGTCCTGGACCACAGGCTGGAGCGTACATTCTGGTTGGATGCCAGACAGCTATTGCCTTCAGGTGGTTAGCCAGACTCTTCCACTGGCCTGCCAACCATTCATGTAATTGTCATGTAAGCCATGCTGAGTAGATTGCTTCTGACTGGCTGCCAGCTATCATATATATGCATCACAGCCTCTCTTCTTCTGGTTGTGCCAGAGCCATAGATAAGAATCATACGCACTTGATGTGGTCCACAGTAACAATAATCATAAGGGATAGTACTCCAACCTATTCTAGAGCTTCAGATAGTAACTACCAGCACTAGTAATTCACTGTCTTTTCTTTTGTAATCATGCTGTAGGTGTGATGCTCAAGTCAGATGGTGACTTTACACAACAGCACTATATTACTGAGACACAAACCTGTGGGAAGTGAGGATGCCAGTGCAAGGCAAGGGATGAGGTGTGATATTGGGAGGACACTGTATTTGTTCATGCCCCGTGCTGAGTGGTAGTGCTGCAGAATTGTGTACCTCCCAGGGCATTACACTAGGCTTTGTTCCTTGATTTAGAAGACACAGAAACAAATTACCAAGATGCTGTGGCTGCTCACCCTCTCATGTCAGGGGAAAGACCCACTTTTAAGAGTCTTTTAAGAACCTTATTTTGGTCTAGGTCATCCTCTCCATATCAGCCAGAGCTGCAGGACCAGTATGATTTGTCTGAGCCATTTGACAGCACAGACCTGGCTGTGTGAAGCCCAAGCCCAAAGGCCAGTGGCAGAGTGTCCCCAGATGGCTCAAACCAAGCCTTTGGGTAGTCAGCCAAGGAGGCTGAAGGTAGAGCGCCCTGGGAAAGCAACTCAGTATTTACAGATGAGCCTGAGTCCCTGGCCCTAGTGTTCTGTAGGGTAGGTGGTGTAGCTGTAGGAGGCCAAATAGAGGTATTTGTCTGTCCTCCTTGCTTCAGGTCTGAGGATAAAGTATCCAACTCTTCTTCTTAGTGGATGAAAGGATCTGGTCTGAATTTTAGAGGATAATCTCATTGCTTCTGAGCTGTAGAGCAGGTTTCTTTCAAATGACTTCCTGTAACACACTGTCTTCAAAGCAGGAGTCATGCTCCATGGGAGGATGTTGGCATCTTTGACCATGCTGAAGATCTATGGTTTCTTTACTTTACTCTGATATTGTCTGGATTTATTATCCAGACCACTTGTCACCAGCTGAGTCAAGCAGGCTGCAAACAGGTACTAGTTTTGGCATTCTGTGTTCCTACATGTATTCCGTGGTCCTACATGAATTCTGCCCTTAAGCACAGAAAAGCACAGACATCCTCCTTCCGAGGAAAATTTGGTACCAGGGTATTTCCTGGCTCCTATCTAACATAAAGATTGCACAGGGCATCTGGAGGGGAACGCCACCAGTGGGAGCACTGGAGCAGGACTGAGGATCTCATGGGATGGCAAGCCAGCAGAACCCACTCTGGCATGACACAGCACAGCAGTGATCCTGCCCAAGTATGTTCATCGTGCAGAGGACATATGTGGACATCAGAAGTACTGGGATCATGCCCCTCACTGAATTTGATATCTAATACGTGGGGGCATATGGTGTTATTACAGAGGCACTAATTACATGTTTATGTGATCTTTTTCAGATAATAATTCAAAGAAGTTTGATCAGCAGGTTCTCTAGTACACTTCCATAAATATCCCAAAGATGCTTTCTTCATTCTTTTTAGCACTATTTTCGTCTTCATTCCTCATGGTTTTATAGCTGTGAATTACTTCCTGTGGTTTCAATGCAAGACACTTGCTAACTTCTCTGAAGCCACCCATAATTCTAAGGAAAAACACTGAAATGGTGTGTTATCTCCTACAACAAAAGTCTCAAAAGCCAAGAAATTTTGAACTTCATAAAGCTGCAGACACACAGTATGTCTTGGGCACTACATTGTTAAAAGCCTGAAATGGGTTTGTAAGTAGCTATATTTTCTCATTTCCCTATTAAATAGAGGGTGTTACCTTTCTATCTTGTTTCTTGTAAAAATGTTTGCAGAAGAAACAGGAAGAAGGGTCCTTGAAAAGAGTTTTCTTCTCAGAATGCTTTTAATTCTGTAGACTTTCTCATTTTTCCTAATATTTATTTAAGTCAAATGCCCGAAGTTTTTTGCTTTCCTTGAAGAATATCCCAGCTCCCTAACCGCCCCAAAAACAATCTCAGAAGTGCTCTTCAGCAGGCCAGAATTGTGAAAACTTTGGGGGGGTGATGGTTTGATTTTTTTTTTTAAGTTTAAATTAATTTGAGAAGACTATAAAATTTCTGGTCTTCCTATGCCAGGAAGCAGCCCAGAAGGCTTGGGACTGGACCTCCTAGGAGGATATTTTCGCGGGGAACAAACTCGGAGCAGCCGCTGGATTGCACATCAAACCCTCGGAGGGGTCTCTAGCAATCATTTTCCTGCTTCCTCGCCTAGAAAAGGTAGCTCTGCTCTGCGTGGCCAGGCCGGGGCAGCCCCCGCTCCCGCAGCACCGCCGTGTTCGCGGGCCGGGGCCCGGCAGCAGAGGGCAGCAGACGCCGGGCGCCGCCGACCTGGTCCGGTGCCAGGCTGTTATCAGCCCGGCTTTCTATTCCCCACTACTGCCTCGCTCCCTCCTCCTCCTCCTCCTCCTCCTCCCCGGCCCTGCCCGCCCCCCGGCTCCCCGCTGGCCGCCGCTCCGCAGCTCAGGCCGGGCAGGAGCGCACGGAGATGTGAGTCGGGGCTCTGTGGAGAGGAACGCGCTGGCACAGCCTTGCGGACAGGGATCGGGGGGGGTTAGACCCTTCCAGGAAGGAGGAGAGGTCAAGGGGGCTAAGCTGCTGCTCGCTGTCCCTCCGTTGAAAACCTTGCTAGCACGCAGAAGAATCCTCCTGAGTGATGTTTGCCTGAGAGCTGGGCAGCGAGCTTCTTTCGGAGGAACACAGAGGGGAAGAGGGAGGATCTGCAGAATGAGGAGAAAAAAGAAACTGAGCTCCAAACTTTTGGCGGAGAGATATCGAGGCATGACTGGGTAGAGGGCTGCCGAGACGGCACTGACAGGATGTTTCTCGGCAGGATGTTTTTCAGCAGGATGCTTCTCGGCAAAGCAAGCTTGAGATCTTCAGATCCTCACCAATGATCCTAAATTAGCAATAACCAGAAA